GTGAGGAACTGAATAAGAAATTCCAGGAGGTCTTCACCTAAGAGCAAGGAGAAATTCCTGAGATAAGAGTGGGAATAGTTAACCAGGAACCACTGGAAGAGTTCGAGATTACAAGCGGGGAAGTAAGGAAGTGTTTACTAGAGTTGGATGTGACAAAGGCTATAGGCCCAGATGGATTCTCCCCTTGGATACTAAGGGAAGGAGCAGAAGAACTGTGCCTGCCACTCTTCATAGTGTATAACAAATCACTGGCAACAGGGGAACTGCCAGAAATTTGGAAAGCAGCTAACGTAGTCCCGATAAACAAGAAAGGGGATAGACAGGAGGCACTGAACTACAGGCCAGTGTCCCTAACCTGCATACCATGCAAGCTGATGGAGAAGATTATGCGAAGAAAGCTAGTGGAACATCTGGAGCGAAAGAACTTTGTAACACAGCATCAACATGGGTTCAGGGATGGCAAGTCCTGCCTCACAGAGTTACTCGAATTCTACGACCAGGCAACAAAAATCAGGCAAGAAAGAGAAGGGTGGGCAGACTGCATATTTTTGGATTGCCAGAAAGCATTTGATACAGTACCACACAAGAGGCTAGTGACAAAGCTTCGCTAGCATGCATGTATGAGCTAATTACAGCAAATACATCTAATAGCTCTTTTAGTCCAATAATTTATTCCAATGGTGCCGGAGTTTTCATGCTTTCGAAATAGAGTAAATATGTTTAAACTTGTTTTAAGACGAATCTATATATTCAAATATAGAGAATAACAAATAGCTTATTTGCAAATTTATTTTAAACGGTAATGTTGATTCAATGTTTCTATTTGCATCACTTATTAATTCACAAAAATCCAAGTTGCTGCTGATATTTGAAATCTGTTAAACTAATGAAATATAATTCATCAATTGTTTTGTCTCCCATTACAGTTTATTAATAAATTTGGGGTTCTTTGTTGATCTGTCGTTTTCAGTGAACACCAGTGAACAAGTCCAAGTGAACAAGTCCAAGCCTGTTCATAATTATGGTATATCCTCTCAACCACATCCTAAGATCCGACAGAGTTATCAACCATATTGACAGATAACCTTATGGATAACTTTACCATATAGTAATCATTAAAAAAAAAACAGTAGAAAGCACTGTTTCCCATATATAAGTGCGTTTCTTATATTAAATATATTTAAAATTTATGGTAATATAATTTAAATCATGACTTCCATAAGTGGTACTGAATTATTTGCCTCAGTTAACATTGTGAACTTTATAGATGGGTTTGTTTTCTCCAAACAATTATAGAATATGAAATATCGAGATCATTCCTCTGATTGATCAATCCTCTGATCAATCAATCTTCTGATCCATCAATTTTCTGAGCTGTTTGTTTTCTTGCCAATTAATAATGCCCGGAGGCATTGTCTCCCCTTCACATGTGGGCATTTCCCGTTTCAAAGTGAACCATACCACCAAAGGAGAAAGTGCTAAGCCATTACGACTATATAGCACTTGGAAGGGTTATAACGATAAGGATTTAGGATAAGACGGAGGGAAGGAATGGTGCCCAATTACTCTCCCGTCCACTCCAAGAGGTTGTACATCATATCACAAGAGTGAAAACTAAAATTATATATATATATATATATATATATATATATATATATATATATATATATATATATATATATATATATATATATATATATATATATATGTCGTACCTAGTAGCCAGAACGCACTTCTCTGCCTACTATGCAAGGCCCGATTTGCCTAATAAGCCAAGTTTTCATGAATTTATTGTTTTTCGACTACCTAACCTACCTAACCTAACCTAACCTAACTTTTTCGGCTACCTAACCTAACCTAACCAATAAAGATAGGTTAGGTTAGGTTAGGTAGGGTTGGTTAGGTTTGGTCATATATCTACGTTAATTTTAACTCCAATAAAAAAAATTTACCTCATACATAATGAAATGGGTAGCTTTATCATTTCATAAGAAAAAAATTAGAGAAAATATATTAATTCATGAAAACTTGGCCTATTAGGCAAATCGGGCCTTGCATAGTAGGCTGAGAAGTGCGTTCTGGCTACTAGGTACGACATATATATATATATATAGTGATGCAGAGAGACGGGCCGAGTCAATATCGGCGATCGCTTGGGGTCGGGTTGGGCGGGGAAGCGGTCAGCTCAAAAGCTATCTTGATGGATCTGTTTTTAGCGCTTGTGTGAGTGTGTGAACGTGTTCGAGCGTGTGTGAATGTGTTCGAGCGTGTGTGAACGTGTGTCACTGTGTATGAACGTATATCTGTATGAATGTGCTTCAGTGTGGATGAACGGTTTTAGCGTATTTGATGCTTTAGTGTGTGTGTATACGCTTTCAGCGTGTGAACGTACTTCATGTGTGTGTGTGTGTGTGTGTGTGTGTGTGTGTGTGTGTGTGTGTGTGTGTGTGTGTGTGTGTGTGTGTGTGAGTGTGTGAGTGTGTGTGTGTGCTGGACGACGAATGGAAGACACTGAGATGAGACAGTGATAGCCTCTGACGTCACTATCAGTCACCACTTGTTACTTTGATCTCCATATTCATCCAATTTCTCTCTCTCTCTGTTTCTATCTCTCTGTCAGTCTCTGTCTCTGTCCCTCCGTCGTGTAGTGGCGCTGTCAAACACCAGAGATGACTAGAGGCCCGCCAGCCAGGCTCTCACCGACAAGATCTACATAGATAGCATAGTAGGGGAGGACAACATGTTTGCTGTGGACCCATGTGGCGAAGGATTCAACTCGATTCAGATTTAAATTTTGTGTGTGTTATACTCTAGGTGGGAGTGGATGAGGCTTGTTTATAAGCTGTAAGCTGGGTTGAGTTTATGTGGACTTACCTGTGTGTATTCACTTGCTTGCAGGTTGGCCTTCAGCTCCTGGGTCGAGTTTATGGCTGTGTATTTCTTAACTTTGAATAATTTGTTTTTCTTGCCTGTTCAATTTCATCTTTCATCCAGTGTGTGTGTGTGTACTTACTTGTTTGTTGTTGCGGGGGTTGAGCTTCGGCTCTTTGGCCCCGTCTCTTTGTATGTGTGTATTTACTGTTTGTATTTGCAGAATCGAGCTATTAGCTCTTGGACCCAGCCTTTCTAACCAATTAATTTTTCATCTATTAAGTCAACTACATATATTTATCTTACACTCGCATACACACATCCCCAAGAAGGAACCCGTAGCAGCTGTGTAACTCCAAGGTACCTGTTTAATGCTAGGTGAACAGGCGCACCAGGGTGAAAGAAACTACCCACACGCACTGCGTGTGTGTGTATTTATAGACACGCGAACCATTGCCTCATTCTTTTGCACTCGCCGTGTATTGCTCCTGAAGTGACGTCCCTGCTTTCAACATTGAGATAAAGCAAGGCCACTTTTGTGCAACAAGAGGCCATGACTGTGAAAGCTCGGGTTGGAGCCGTGATCTTGCCAAGTTACACAGACAACCGCTCAGCGTCACCTTAAGATCTCGCGATTGATCTGATCTCCTCTGAAAAGCTTGCGGGAAGAAACTCAGAGGCTTTGATGCGATCGCTGGCGCTGCACCTTCTCGATTGGATTGACATATCGCTATTCGGGTGGTTGATTGTTTATCATTGAGAGGGCAAGACTTTCTCGTTTTGGTTGTGCAGAAATGCACAACCAAATTTAGAGGCTGCAATTTGCGTTGTTACAGAGATCATGTTGTTATGATGTATTGGAAAATATTGAAATAATATACATATATAATATGAAATAATTAAAGATATATATTATATATGTATTGAAAAATATGCTATTGGAAAATGTTATTACATCACTAAAAACTCTAGGGAAATCACGCCGAATATTTCACACTCGGCTATAAAAATCGAATTGGGGGTATCTATAAATGCAAATATTTCTAAAATTATTTAATTTAGGCCGACTCCGACCGGTCTATATCCGTCTAGTACTCCCGAATATTCCCCGCCCTCCCTGCACAGTTGAGTGAGGCTAGCCCCACACGTCTGGCCTTCAGCAATGGACAGACAGACAGACAGATAGACAGACAAAATGACCAACAGCTATTCTTTCTTGTAGAAATAGATTTGTCTGTTTTTTCTTCGAAGGTGAAGTTTTTCATTAATCAGTTAAACTGAAGCGAATGGTCGCTTTCTCTTTGTTAACGAAGCACGATCGTTATAACCTGTACCTTGCAGAATGTTTCACAGTTTAAGAATGTTGTGATGTCTTGTGTTTTGCATATTGACTGTCTCATGCGCGTTAAGTTTCAACGTTTACAATACACTTGTTTCAAAACACCTTTGCCCCACACCTCCACAGTCCTGCCCACACCCCCACAATCCTGCCCACACCCAGATAATCCTGCCCACACCCAGATAATCCTGCCCACACCCAGATAATCCTGCCCACACCCAGATAATCCTGCCCACACCCAGATAATCCTGCCTACACCCACATAATCCTGCCCACACCCCCACAATCCTGCCCACATCCCACCGTCCGGCCCAAACCTCACAGTTCAAATCACACACCACAACTTTACCCACTCCCCAGTCCTCTACACATCTTGCTCCTCCTAGTCCTCCACCTGCCTGAAGCTTAGAAAATAATATGAACTACACAGCTTACTCAGCATCTTCATAATTTTCCGTTCACTGTATCTTAATTAACATGAATCCCTGGATAATTTTAAGGAGTTCAAAGTCACCTCACACACACACACACTCATTCCCGTATATATATATATATATACGGGAAAACTCAACATAACTAAAGGAAAATGAAATTTTTTGGCTTCTTTTCATGCCAAACAGAAATATTATACTGTCCAAATCCAACGAATAACCAACGACATCAACTACTGTATTCACTAATTAACAGCTTGGACAAAAGACAACAGCTTGGACATTTTATCTCGATAAAATAAAGCCAAACAAAAATGATAAAACAAGACACACTCGAGGAACAAAAACCGTGTACTCACCATCCTTGTTCATGGCAGCATCGAAGCACTTGTTCAGACGGCAGGCCCGGCACTGGTTGCGGTGAGTCTTGTCTATTGGGCACTTGCCCTTCATGTCCCCCGTCGCTTTGCACGTATACACGCGATTTCGGTGGATGCTGCGCTTGAAGAACCCGGAGCATCCTGGTGGGAGACGGGAGATGAGAGCCAGATAGGTGTGGGTGTGTATTTACTATTTGTATCTGCAGAATCGACCTATTAGCTCTTGGACCCTGCCTTCCTAATCAATTTATTTTTCCTATATTATATCATATATTTCTCTTACACACACACGCACATTAGCAGGAAGTAGCCTATAGCAGCTGTCTAACTCCCAGGTATCTCTTTACTGCTAGGTGAACAGGTGCATTAGGATGAATAAAACATTTGTTTCTGACTCTGCCGCGATCGAACCTGTCCATTCAGCCAGGAGGCCCCCTGTGTGTGTGTGTGTGTGTGTGTGTGTGTGTGTGTGTGTGTGTGTGTGTGTGTGTGTGTGTGTGTGTGTGTGTGTGTGTGAATGTGTGTGAGAGTGTGTGTGTGCGCGCGCGTAAGTATGAATGTGAGTGTGTTCAAGGAAGAAGACAGACTTGATAAGAGACAGAAATATAAAGAGAGAAATGAGAGAGAGAGAGAGAGAGAGAGAGAGAGAGAGAGGAGAGAGAGAGAGAGAGAGAGAGAGAGAGAGAGAGAGAGAGAGAGAGAGAGAGAGAGAGAGAGAGAGAGAGAGAAACACAAACACACAAATATATAAAAAAAGGGATACGAAAGTTCACGCTACACAGAGTGAAGCCCAAACCACCAAAAGGGATTCAACCTACTTCCCTCATTAGCAAGCAAATACAGGCACACAACACAAGGGAAAGTGACCCCCTCACAAAGGAGTAACACCTCGTTACGGAGACAGACCGCACGCGGCCACAGTTAACTCGCCCAGAGAACCCCGAGCGTAACGGGAAGAAACTCTACGTTTAGTATACCTCAGCGTGAGAGGAAGCTGAGAAGGAAAGATTTGGGTTTACTGCTCGGGGGGTAAACCTGTGTCAAAACGTATCGGGAAGGGGGCGTGGTGTGGCGGTGCATTGTGGTGACTACGGTGTGGTGATGTTCTGTGGTAGAGCGGTGTGGTAGAGCAGTGTGTGGTGGCAGGTGGTATGCCACGCTGTGGACACTATATGCAAGGTAACCATCGCATTTCTAGTTCAAGTGTTTTTTTTATGCATGCAGGTAAATGCTAAGATCATTCATTATGAGAGAGAGAGAGAGAGAGAGAGAGAGAGAGAGAGAGAGAGAGAGAGAGAGAGAGAGAGAGAGAGAGAGAGAGAGAGAGAGAGAGAAGAGAAGAGAGAGAGAGAGAGAGAGAGAGAGAGAGAGAGAGAGAGAGAGAAAGAGAAGAGAGAGAGAGAGAGAGAGAGAGAGAGAGAGAGAGAGAGAGAGAGAGAGAGAGAGAGAGAGAGAGAGAGAGAGAGAGAGAGAACAAGAGACAGAGAGACGCAGCAAGTACTTACCATCACAGGAGTATATGCCATAGTGTTTGCCTGACGAGCGGTCTCCACACACCTTGCAGGGGATGTCCAGTAGTCTGTCACCTGCGGGATGATCAACACTCTTCAGACCCTCTTCACCTGGTCATATAACCATCAATATAACACCCAAATGCTTCCGTAACTCCTCTCTAACTTCCCCCCCCCTACCATTACCCTTATCACTGCCACTAATCTTAACACACCTTCCTCCACACTTGCAACTTAATGCGACAATCAATAACTATTTGATAATAGACTTCCATTATCATTCGTAGTGACAACCGCTGGCATGATGTACAGCAATATACCTAAACTATTGCAGTGCATTATTCCGCTGCTGGCGTATGTAGCCTGTTTGGCTGAGCCTGTAACAGCTACCTTGAGGCTACCTTGAGGTGCTTCCGGGGCTTAGTGTCCCCGCGGCCCGGTCGTCGACCAGGCCTCCTGGTTGAACAACAAAAACAAAACAAAAACCTGTCTCTGCTGGCATTTTCTTTGCTGTCAAGAGTGAGGTTGTAGAAGCGCTGTGTCTTCTCTTTTCTTTCTTGGGTGTTGAGGTATAATGTTATTTAACACGAGACGGAAAAAATGACCAAAAATTCATAGCAAGTTTCGGATATTATCAATGTTTCGTATTGTCTTATTACCACAGCCACTCGTCTTGGCCAGAAAATATTCTCATTGGTAACTTTTTTCCCCCCCAACTGCAGAGACGTCAAATATAAGGCCCGCCACACTTTTACCGTCTCTCTCTCTCACTAATTATCCTAACCTGCTTAAGCCAGGTGGGATTTCCCCGGCTTACCTGGTTTACTCTCAAATTTGATGGTTAATTAGCCTCCCCCGCTGTTAGCGAGGGAGGGACAGGCCTCGCTCCTCCTCCTCCTCGTCTTGGGCAGATGAGGAGAAAAAGGAAATAACATTTTTGATTGCAGGAATAAACTGCTGGTCTCAGACAGTGACTACGTATTGGAAGTTCACGAGATGTAGTGTTCAGACGTACTATTGCTTGTGTGACGATCAACTTGACACGGAGAGTAGTGGATAGTCTTGGAAACACAGGCGAGCACCAGAGATATCAGAAAAGAACTTTTTCAATCTAAGAATTGTTAATAAGTGGAACGGCCTGGATGAGGAAGCTGTCGAAGCGAATTCGATACGCAGTTTAGAATGTAAATATGATAAATATCGAGGCGAAAGGAGTCACTGCATTGAACTAATGATAGTCACAAGACAGGTGCTCGACCTTGCAAACACAACTAGGTGAGTGCAATTAGGCGACGAGTGAATTATATGTGGTGTCTGTGTTTGATGGTTCGTATATCTAACGCCGTTCACATCTCGAGCCGGAGACGAGCTCTGCCTTGTTCTGTTCCGCTAGCGTTGGGGGCTGTAGTTAACCAGATCTCCCTTGGTGTAGTTCCTTAGTGTTGCTTATTGTAGTTAACGAGATCTCCGTTGGTGTAGTTCACTCGTGTTACCCCTAGTGTAGTTAATTAAGTGTTGCCTCCTGTTCTTTTTCATATTTAGAATTTAGGTAATACCGTGTAAGTATACAATTAACGTTGAATTGAATTAACTGTTATTCAAATTAATTATACTCTACCATTTTAAGTCAAGTTAAATTTAACAAGGTCATATATCATGAATTGAGAAATACGAGATCAACAAGGAAATACACGCATTGTTTTCACCAGTGTCATAACAGGATGGGTCAGGGTTCACAGTGTCGTTGAACAATAACATAACAGAAAGAAGTTACCACTTTTTTCACTTCACCACTTTCCTGGTGAAGTGTTCGGTCTTGAGTACCAACCACACTAGTCAGGCGGTCAGGATTACCAACCACACGAGTCAGGCGGTCAGGAGTACCAACCACGGGAGTCAGACAGTCAGGAGTACCAACTGCACGCGTCAGAAGATGTTTGTAAGATGTTCGGCTTCCCCACTACGAAAATTACCAGAACTACACCACTGTGAAACTAAACCATCGTCCGAGTCGCAGACCCAACTTTTACCCCACAAGAAAAGTGCGGGTGTCGAGGTATGAGCAGCCGAGAGTACCAGGAAGAGCCCATTACGGTATCCCTCCCAGCCGCTCGGTGCCTCTGAACACCTCATAGTTATGGCCCAAAAATTAAGCACAGTGCAACAGGAGCGCCTGTCCGGCAGTGCCGTTGCCAAGTGCCCCTTGAGGACCGTCAGGGAGAGGTCATTGTGGCGTCGTTGGTGTAGCAGCTATGACAAGGCGGAGACTCTCCTATGTACTCTAGAACGTAACCACGACGTTAGTTTTTACGTCGTCAAAACGGTGTATGAAGCAAATAAAGCCTTAAAAAAAATTGTGCGTTTACTGGTATATATGTTAGCTCTCTCGGTAGACTTCTTTTGATTTAACCTCGAATGAAACAGCATCACTCAGCCGTATCTTACACCATAGCAATGAGGAATATTATTTATTATCTTAGCACCCACTGAAACCCGTATTTTCATTGTGTCAGTACTAATATTCGATTTTTTTTTTTTTTTGAGATATATACAAGAGTTGTTACATTCTTGTACAGCCACTAGTACGCGTAGCGTTTCGGGCAAGTCCTTAATCCTATGGTCCCTGGAATACGATCCCCTGCCGCGAAGAATCGTTTTTTCATCCAAGTACACATTTTACTGTTGCGTTAAACAGAGGCTACAGTTAAGGAATTGCGCCCAGTAAATCCTCCCCGGCCAGGATACGAACCCATGACATAGCGCTCGCGGAACGCCAGGCGAGTGTCTTACCACTACACCACGGAGACTGCTAAAAGACACTGAGTGTTTGCCGTCGCTTCGCGGCAATTGTCTGGAAGTGGGTTAGGTATAAATGATCAGAGACTACTTCTTGGGGTAGCGATTTTGGCAAATTTACCCGTGTTATTAATCACCAGGTGTTATAATTTTTAAAAACTATACCGTACAAAGGCAAATTTGCGAAGTTTTGTCCGTCTGATGACACCAAGTGTCCGATTGACGGCACCAAAAGTCCAACTGATAGCACGAAATGTACGACTACTGGTACGAAGAACTGGCAGCATCACCTGGTCTCTCTAAAGACACGTGTGACGGACAACGCCGGGATGTATAACATATTTCCCTGTATGCATAGCTCCAGTAAGGTCTCCCAAGCCTAGAAAACTCTGGGAAAGTGTGACATGAGAGCCATGCTGCATGTTAGCTGGGAGTTTGGTAGCAGGGCTGGCGTACCAAACCAGCACTTATTTGCACCGATGAAGGAATGAGGACCTGCTGGGTGAGTGGAGCCCAGTGTCACTATAGTGTCACTATAGCTAGGTCAGTTTTGTGCCACTTGCACTCATAGTGTCACTTGCAACACTCCCGCTGCTCTTGGCTATGGCCTTTGCATTAGTGCCTCAATACATATCAACAGTGTTTAAATAGCCAAAACATTTTGTAGTTTTTTTTACAACCACTTGATATGTAAACAAATGTAGTCTACGGAGCAGGCCAGATTCACGAAGTAGTTACGCAAGTACTTTAGGAAAAAGAATATGCTAATTAATTACCTATATTTCTCGTACGAACGTGTACATCTTTCCTCAATCTACGACGGCTTTGGTTACATTTATTAAACAATTTATAAGCATGAAAACTTCCCAATCAACTGTTGTTATTGTTATAAACAGCTTCCTGGTGCTTCAGAGCTTATTAACTGTTTAATAATTGTAAACAAAGCCGACAAAGATTGAGAACAGATGTACAGGTTCGTAAGTGCTTGTGTAACTGCTTCGTGAATCAGGCCAGTGACCAAAACATGCTGGCGCTTCAGCTGTTCGAAACCTTGTAAATGTATGACTACCACACACTGGTATTCAATACATGTATAGAATCTAAGCATTACTGCAGATAATTGTACACAAAATTTGCAGTTGTGCCTTAAATCATTTAGAGCTCTTGGCATGTATCAGTCCCTGTGCCGTACGGCGCCCCATACTTATGTGTATATCGTTTAGCCCGGAGGGGAGGGAATTATCAGGGAGAAAGAGCCAAGCCATTACGACTCTATAGCACTTGGAAGACAACCCATCCTCGACTCAAGTCCATTACATTCAGCGGTCAACCCCACAGACGCATTCATAAATTTTAACATGCTGTTCATTCAAAACGGGAATTTTCTCAAGTATAAATTAATATTATAATATATTAGGATATTGTTTATAAATAGGCATAGGTTAGGTTAGGTTAGGTGTTTAGGTTCTGTTGGCGATTATTTGTATTTGTAGTACGTGGGTGAAGCATTTATAGCGTTGTGATTCGAACAAAATTCGTCCGTGAAGCACTTGTTCCGGATATGTTCGAACGTCAGCAGTTGTGAATCGTGTATAAACCTTTTTTTCATTCATAAACAGGGGGTTTGGCGGGTGCATGGAATCACTTTTGGATCTTTGTTTGGAGGACGGGCTGTCTGTGGGGTCGACCGCTGGTTGTAATGGACTTGAGTCGTGGCGATTCGAACGGAAGTCACTGCTCAAGAAATGATCGAACGTCATCACTTGTGAGGGAAGTGTAAACAAGTTTTCATTAAAAAAACACAAATGTCGTGGCAATTGGATTACCGAACATTTGCCCTTCATTGATAAGGACACGCTGTGATAAGAATGGGCTAAAGTAGAAATTGATTACATTCGACCTTTTCTCAAACAGTACTTCGCGGGCTGCCCATGTCCGAAGCGAACCTTTCTAAACGCTTCACGGCACGCATTCATATACTGTTTAACATAAAACATCATTGACCTAACTATATATAAACCTATAATGCATTCATATATTAATTTGTATTCGTGGGCGTTCAGGAGGTAGTTGGGCGACCCCATGTGAGGTGATTGGCATACGGCAGCGGTGTTGTGTTGGCGCTAAGAGGAATATATCTGAGGAAAGGATTAGGCAGTATGGAACAACGTATGTGTGTGTGTGTGTGTATGTGTGTGTGTGTGTGTGTGTGTGTGTGTGTGTGTGTGTGTGTGTGTGTGTGTGTGTGTGTGTGTGTGTGTGTGTGTGTGTGTGTGTAGTTGTGTATGGAAGAGAGAGTGTGTAAGCAAGGAGGA